GGTGGCGCAGCAGTTAAGTTCACACGTTCCACTTCTCAGCGACCCGGAGTCCGCTGGTTTGGATCCCGGGTGCGGACATGGCACCGCTTGGCAAAAGCCATGTTGTGGTAGGGGCCCCACATATAAAGTAGAGGAAGATGGGCATGGATGTTAGCTCAGGGCCAGGCTTCCTCAGGAAAAAGTGGAGGATTGGCAGCAGTTAGCTCAGGGCTAATCCTCCTCAAAAAAAAAAAAAAAGAATCAGTGACATATTTTCCATTTTGAGGGGTGGTCTTTTTCTTATCATTTGCTGAGAACTTTTTTCATTAATGGATATTGGATTTTATCAGATGCATCAATTGATATGATCATGTCATTTTTTTTCCTCTTAAGCCTATCCGTATGGTACATTTTATAATTCTTTAAGATTATTTTTTAGAGCATTTTTAGGTTCACAGCAAAATTAAGAGGAATGTACAGAGATTTCCCATATACCCTTGGCCCACACACAAACTTAATCTCCTCCATTATCAACACTCCCCACAAAGTGGTACATTTTTTTAAATTGATGAACCTCCATTGACACATCATGATCACCCAAAGTCCATACTATACATTAGGGTTCACTCTGGGTGTTGCACATCCTGTGGATTTGGACAGATGTATAATGACATGTATCCATCACTATAGTCTCATACAGAATAGTTTCACTGCCGACAGATCCTCTGTGCTCTGCCTGTTCATCTCTCTCTCACACCAAGCCCTGGAAACCACTGATCTTGTTACTTTCTTCATAGTTTTACCTTTTCCAAAATGTCATATAGCCAGAATCAGACACTATGTAGTCTTTTCAGATAGGATTCTTTCTCTTAGTTGTATGTTTTTAAGGTTCCTCCATGTCCTTTTGTGGCTCAATAGCCCATTTCTTTTTAGTACTGAATAATATTCCATTGTCTGGATGTATCACTTTTTTTTTTCCTTTTGAGGAAGATGAGCCCTGAGCTAACTACCGCCAATCCTCCTCTTTTTGCTGAGGAAGCCTAGCCCTGAGCTAATATCCGTGCCCATCTTCCTCTGCTTTCTATGTGGGATGCCTACCACAGCATGGCGTGCCAAGCAGTGCCATGTCTACACCCGGTATCTGAACCAGCGAACCCCGGGCCACCGAGAAGCGGAACATGCGAACTTAACCACTGCGCCACCGGGCTGGCCCCTGGATGTATCACCTTTTATTCATTCACCTGCTGAAGGACGTCTTGGTTGCTTCCAGATTTTGACAGTTATGAATAAAGTTTCTTAAATATTCATGTGCAGAATGTTACGTGGGCATACATTTTCAAGTGCTTTTGGTAAATAGCAAAGGGCACGATTGCTGGATCACATGGTAAAAGTGGGTTTAGTTTTGTAAGAAACTGCCAAACTGTCCTCCAAAATGACTGTACCATTGTACATTCATACCAGCAATGAATAAGAGTTCCTGTTGCCCAACATCCTCACCAGCATTTGGTGTTGTGAGTTGTTTCGAATTTTGTTCATTCTAATAGGTGTGTCGTGGTATCTCGTTGTTTTAATTTGCAATTCCCTAATGATGTATGATGTTGACCATCTTTCCATATGTTTATTTGTCATTTGTATATCTTCTTTGATGAGGTGTCCGGATCTGTTGCCCATGGTCTTCTTTTTTAATATGTATTCTGACAGTCTCCGTCTTTTGTTATGTTTAGACCTTTCACATTTATAGTGATTATTGATATTGTTGGATTAATATCTGTAACTGTTTTCTACTCATTACACTAGTTCATTTCTTTTTTAGCTTTCCTCCTTTTTCTTCTTTGTTTTAATAGAGCATTTTATATGATTCTATTTCCTCTCTCTTACTATACGAAGTATATTGCTTTAAAATCTTTTTTGTGTGTTTGCCCTAGAATTTCCACTATTCATTTATAGTTAATCTAAATCCACTTTCCAATATACATTATCACTTCCTGGATATGCAGGTGCCCTATACCAGAACATTCTGATTACGTCCTTCTGTTTTTTATTCCTTCATTCATTTCCCTTATCCATACACCATAGTTACTGAATACATTGTTGCTGTGATTTCTTTGAACAAACAGTTACCTGTCTGACCAATTAAGAACTACAAAAATAAAATATTTTGTATTACTTTTATTTATTCTTCTCTTATTCTCTTCCCATCTTTATGGTGATCTGAATTTCTGATCTGTATCATTTTCCTTCTGTCTGATTAACTTTTAGTATTTCTTGCAAAGCATGTCTACTGGCATGAAATTCCTTTAATATCTGTTTGTCTTTCGAGAAAGGCTTTATTTCTACTTTACTTTAGTTTGTTGTTAAATAAAACTGTACATGTTTAAGGGTACATGATGATTTGATATACATATCCATAGTGAAATGATTAGTCAAGCTATTAACATATCTATCTCCTCATAGGGTTATCATTTTTTGTGTGTTGTAAGAGCATCTGAAATCTACTCTTTTAGCAAATTTACAGTATAGAATACAGTATTATTAAGTATAATCATGATGTACGTTACATCTCTAGACTTATTCATCCCCTAGGACTGCTACTTTGTGCCCTTTGACCACCATCTCCCCATTTCTGCTATCTCCTTACCCCTCATAACCACCATTCTACTCTTTGCTTCAATGTATTTGGCTTTTTTGATTCCACATATAAGTGAGATGAAGCATATTTTTCTTTCTGCCATCTGCATTATTTCACTTAGCATATTCTTCTCAAAGTTCATCCATGTCACAAAAGGCAGGATCTCGTTTTTTAAGGGTGAATACTATTCCATTGTATATATATCTATATATATTCCATAGTTTCTTTGTCCATTTATCTGTTGATGGACACTTCAGTTGTTTGCACATCTTGACTATTGTGAATAATCCATTCAATGAACATGGGAGTGCAGATATCTCTTCTAGGTATTGATTTCATTTGTTTTGTGTATATACTCAGAAGTGGAATTACCAGATCATATGGTAGTTCTATTTTTTATTTTTTGAGGAACCTCCATACTGTTTTCCATAGTGGCTGCACCAGTTTACATTCCCACCAATAGTGCACAAGGGTTCCCTTTTCTCCACATCCTCGCCAGCATTTGTTACCTCATATCTTTTTGATATAGTCATCTTATCAGTTGTGAGGTGATATTTCATTGTAGTTTTGATTTGCATTTCCCTAATGACTAGTGATGTCGAGCACCTTTTTATTTACCTGTTGGCCATTTGTATGGTTCTTTTTGGAAAAATATATATTCAGGTCCTTTGCCCATTTTTTAATTGAGTTGTTTGTTTGCTATAAGTTGTGTAAGTTCCTTATGTACTTCAGATATTAACCCCTTATCAGATATATGGTTTGCAAGTATTTTCTCCTAATCTGTAGGTTGCTTTTTCATTTTATTGACTGCTTCTTTTACTGTGCAGAAGCTTTTTAGTTTGATGTAGTCCCACTTGTTTATTTTTGCTTTTGTTGCCTGAACATTTGGTGTCATATCCAAAAAGTCATTGCCAAGGACAATGTCAAGGAAGTTTTTCCCTATGTTTTCTTCTAGGAGTTTTACTGTTTCAGGTCTTACATTTAAGTCTTCAATCCCTTTTAAATTCATTTTTGAAGTGTATTTTTTCTATCATACAGAATGCTAGGTTGGTGGGGATTTTTCTTTAAACACTTTAACTATTTCAATCCGCTCTCTTCTTACTTACGTGGTTTCTGATGATAAGTCCAATGTAATTCTTATTCTTGTTTCTCTATAAATTAGGCAGTTTCCCATCTAATTGTTTTTAACTACAAAATTAATATATGATAATTGATTCTAGAGAAATAGTGCAAGGATGTTTAAAGATAAAGATCTTCATTGATTTCCCCTTCCAGGTCCATATGTTGGTACATGTCCTTCCACTGGTTTTTCAACCTTAAACACACATAAACATGTATCCTTTTGCTAAAAACTGGAATGTCTGATAGGCACCATTCTACTAATTGCTTTTATTTTCCCCTCAACAATATTGAGTAATGAATACCTATTCCTATATTGGTTATTTTAAAAATCATTTTCTTAAATAATTCTACATTTAATAATATGTTGTACCTTGATAATACTTTGTGAAGAGAATAAGTTGAAAAACTTCCCTGGGAATATCCCATTCAACCAATAGTTTATATTTGTAATTATTGTGCTTTTACCAAACTATACATTTTGTAGCTGAAGAGATTGTATGAAGTTAAATGATTCACCTACACGTCCCCTCTGTCTGGTCCCACAACCAACCCCCTTAAGAAAACTATAGCCTCATGAGTGTCCTTTCACATAACAGTATACTCATATATACATTTAGATGTGTTGTTAATTATCTTGGCAAAAATTAGTAAGTGTTATACACATTACCCTGCAGATTACTTTTCTCTCTCACAATAGAGAATGTCAAAAATTTTATTTTTACATTACCATGTTTTAAAATTTAACCCTTGATCCACCATGAAATATATATTTTGGGTAGTGTGAATATCTCACTTGATTTTATATTCTCCTCTTTCTCATCTTTCCCAATAGAATTTTATCAATTAATTTTGTCCTGTAGATCTCTTTCAGTTACTGATGTAATAGCTATTGTTTTAATGATTGTAGCTGTATTCTACCATTTACACTTTGTAATTAAATATGCTGCTCATAATCCTTCCCGCCCACGACATTGTGTCTTTTTAAAAAATATTTATACCCCTTGGCCAATCTCCCTTATTTATTATGGTAAATTAATTTTAATAAGAATATGGTTTAGTATAAAATCTTACAATTGCATTTTAATTGTATTATAACTATAATAAATCTTGAAATGTTAGCAGCTATTCCGTATTGATTCTTCTCATTCAAGACCATGAGCGTATTTGTAGTCAATGAAGCCTGTTATTTGCTGCTTGGGGGACTTCATGTTTGTCTTATATCGATCAAAAAAAAGCTCATAATACCTTTGTTGCTTGGTATTAGAATTTTCTCCTTTATTGTACATAGATTACTTTTCATGTATCTTTTCTGATTATTACTAGTGTGTAGGAAATCTATTAATTTTATCGTATATATTTTTTCCCTCTACTTACCTTTTGAGCAGTCTTACCAGTTCCTATCATTCCTTTTTTCTTCTCTAGGATTTTCCAAATCATTATATACGTAACATGTTTTTTAAGTGTTGCAATATTAAAATCATCTTACGACTTCAAGGTGTCACTGGGAATACTTCCTGGACCTCACAACACAGACTAATTCAAACAGACCCCTGCTGTGAGTGCTTTGCTCTTCTCCAGCCATGTCTAGGCTGGTCTCTCAGACGTAGATTCTTCCTCTGCACTGGGACCTGGGCAGGCCCTTCTGTGGATTTGACTCTAGAATCCTCCAGAGCTGTCCCTGCAGGAACCTGAGACATAATCTCACTGCAAACTAGAAACTGTTTGATATGAATAATGACAAGTATAAAGGGTGTGTTGATATTTTTATTAGAACAAATTATTTGAGGTATTTATGTCTGATGATTGGGTTCTAAACAGGAATTATTATGATTTATATAGATGGATTTATCATACATGGACTCAGGTTGTCTTTACCTAAACATTAATGTCCCTATGTGGCTTTGTGGTTGACAAAACTGTTTTTACATGTTTTGTTTCACTTGACACTCTTCGCATAACAGTATAGTTCCTGGGTTTGCTATGAGGATTTCAGAAGATAATCCACACTTAGCACAGTTTTTGGAAAGTAAGTTAGCACTCTGTAAACGTTTATCTTTTAGTTGTTACTGTTATTGCTATTATTATTGTTAATAACGCCCGTTATATCCTTTCTATAGACAGAAAATTGATGTTTGATGACACTTAAGTGACTTGCTTAGGGCTGCACAGCATTTGCTTTTCTTTCTTAAAATTTTACTGTGTTTAATTTTATTTCATGAGAAATGATGCCAACTTGTTGAAGTGAAACAGTACAAAGATGCATGAAGAAAAATGACATAGTTCAGTTCACGTTAGATTCACTTCATCCCTCTGCCGTAAGCAGTGCTCAGTGTGCGGGGCATATACTTCTTCACCACCTTGCACGATCAATTACTTACAGATTAACTGGGCCCACATATTAAGGTATTTTTGGTCACTGCTTATAAAAAAAGAAAAAAATGGGGGCAGGGCAGAATTTTCTTTATGAATTTTTCAACGTCTTATTTTTCTTCCTGGAGGGAAACAGCTGAGGGAGCATTCCCAATTGCCAATGAGACTTTATGGATTTACGTGTTGATATTCAAATTAGCAGCCCGGGTTGTCAGCATTTGGGTGTAATAGTATGTGCTGAATATCTCTGACATTATTTAAGAATTTATTCTTTTTTCTACTGTTCTCTCATCAATTCGTAAGTCAATATCACATTGTTTTAATTAGTGTACTTTTTACATTTAATAATTAATATGAAATATGTCTCTCACTGCTTTTCTTTTTTGAGGTTTCTCTTACATATTCTAACATACAAAATTTCCCTACAGCTAAACCCTAGCCTCAGTTCTTGAAATACTGTTGGAGGAAGTCATCAAGAGTACGTGACTGCCAGTTGACCTGAGAGCTGGACCCAGGCAATTGGAGGCTCCTTAACTTTCCCCTGCCTTGGGAATGGACGTTCCACCCACTATTCCCACTCTTGGAGGCATTTCAGGGATGCAGCTTGAGATAATAATGTGTTGTTGAGACCATCCGGACAGTATACGCAACTGAACCCAGGTAAGGCCCCTATACGGCACACCTTGGGGATATTGCAGGTTTAGTTCCAGACCACTGCAATAAAGCGAATATCACAATAAAACAAGTCACATGAATTTTTGGTTTCCTAGTGCATATAAAGTTATGTTTACACTATCCTGTAGTCTAAAAAGTGTGCAACAGCATTATGTCTAAAAAATACCAATGTATGTGCCTTAATTAGGGGCTGGCCCAGTGGTGCAGTGGTTAATTGTGCATTTCTGCTTCTCGGCAGCCTGGGGTTTACCGGTCCGGATCCCGAGTGCGGACATGGCACTGCTTGGCAAAAGCCATGCTATGTTAGGTATCCCACATATAAAGTAGAGGAAGATGGGCATGGATGTTAGCTCAGGGCCAGTCTTCCTCAGCAAAAAGAGGAGGATTGGCAGTAGTTAGCTCAGGGATAATCTTCCTCAAAAAAAAAATTATATATATAATTTATTGCTAAAAAATGCTAACCATCATCTGAACCTTTTGTGAGCCATAACCTTTTGGTGGTGGAGGATCTTGTAAAAAACGCAACATCTGTGAAGCACAATAAAGCAGAGAGCAATAACATGAGGTATGCGTGTGTAAACTTTAAGATTCTGACAGGCAGATTCAGAGATCTACTCTTCTTGCGACTGCCCAAGACAAGCCCCTTATGTAAGTTCCCTTACTTATTAAAACTGCCACCTACCAATCTGGAGTGGCCTACTTCAGTCTTCAGTCTCTCCTTGCCCACCATGTACGGGGGCCAATTTCATACTTCTCCCAGGGAACTCCCAAGTTTGCATACCAACAAATACCTAGCCAAAAAAGGCACATGGGAAGTTTTCACCGAATTACCTTAATATTAAGAATATATTTGAGAGATGGCCAACCCTGTGGCCAAATCATTAGCTTCGTGCACTCCACTTTGGTTACCCGGGGTTTGGCCAGTTTGGATCCTGGGGCCAGACCTAGCATGGCTCATCAAGCCATGCTGAGGGGCGTCCCACATAGCAGAGCCAGAAGGACCTACAACTACAATATACAACTATGTACTGAGGGGCTCTGGGGAGAAAAAGGAAAAAAAGTTTGGCAGCAGATGTTCGCTCAGCACCAGTCTTTAAAAAGATAAAAAGAATGCATTTGAGAAAAATCTCTCTATTTGATATTGAATCTTTCTGTATTAGATCATGTGTGCATATATTTTCTTTATTCAAATCACCTGGAATAGGTCTCAGAAAGTTTTCTAATATTTTTTAAAATAGGTCCTAAACAATTCTTAGTAAGATTATTTCTAGATAATTCTCATCTACTTATTTTTGAGTGGATACTGAATTCAAATACCTCTTTTAATATCGAAATACTTTTATTTGACACACAGATGTCAATCTCATATGTATATAGAAAATACTTTGCATAAAGATAATTTATTCAAAATTATTTGTAATGATTTATATTCAAAATTAGATGCTAGTTCAAAGGATCCCCTTTTCATTCTGTGCTGTACAATCTGAGCCTCATGTTGCTAAATGCCTTTTTGAATGAATTATAGCTCATATGCAGTAAAATTATCTGTTTTTATGTTTCTTTTCTGTCTACCCAAATTACTAAACTGTCCTTTCAATTCTCATTAGGTTGCATTTGGCCCTTTTTGATTTCTCTATATTATAAGTAACATCGGTGATCAGAAAATGCTCTAAACAACCACATCGCGTATTTGTTTCTTTTTTATAAAATACAACACAGGATCATATACACAGAATTTTACTTTGCAGCTTTATTTCTCACCTAACAATAGTAAGCGGCATGCACTGGGACAAGATGTTCCGTGGATTCGAGTTCCTGATTTCAACACTCTTGCCAATGGGGAATGTACTTGGGTACATTGGGTGACGTAGGACTTGAAATTTTTTCTCAAATACCAAGTTACCTTCACACCTTTTCATCACATTTGTTCCAGGAATAACTCTGAATTCTGGATCCCACATATATTGTAATTGTGGCTGCAGAATACAGTCTCTGGGACAGACATTCACCGTTTCTATTTCTAGACCTTCTCTTGAAATTCTCCTCTAATCAATAATCTTATAAACGTAATTTGTCATCCCCTTCTCAAATTACCCTAAAATGCTCATTAAGAGAAAAAGTCATTACTATAAAAACTTAAATGAATTGTAGGAATTTAACACACAGTCAAATTTGAGCCTTCGCATCAGGATCAGATCACGTGTTTAAAACCTTGTATTCAAGCTGGTTTTCTACATGAAGGCCCTTAACAATTATAAAGCTTATTTCAAGGACCTTATATTTGTTCTGTTTATTGAATATTCAGAATAGAGTTGTCATTTTTGTTGCTGTTGTTGTTTTGATAATCCTCCTTGCCATTATGTATGTTTTCAGAATTCCGCTGGCTCTGCTTGCTCATAGCATCTTTTCTTTTTAAATGTATTTTTTTAATTTGTTAATGATAACTAGTAAAATATGAGTAGCTGATATGTCATTTGCTTTTTCAAATTAATTATTCATTCTAAAAGTCAGGTATTATTTGATACACCTCTCTTCTGTCTGTCCAGCGAATTAAGTATATTACAGTTATCATCTTTTTGAGGTAATTTTCTCAAATTATCTACGTTAGTAAAAGCAATGGTATATTTTGTGCGTTGTATAATTCAAACCAGGGCCCATGAAATATCATCATCATCATCATCACAATCAGTGTGCTACACAACCTTGTGGGCCAAATCAGACTACCTCTTGCTTTTGGCTCTCGGCTCAGTTCCCTGTTCCCTCTTTCTCTTTGACCTCAGCTCTGGAATTTGAGCCCTAAGGTTCACTTCTCAGATGGATTTTGCTGCCAGCTCCTGCGGGGGTGCCCATGCAGCCTTTTGAAACCTCAATTCCCTAGAGACCTTTTAGTATCAAGAGTAGTGATTTAACAACAGGGATTAAAGTAAACTCATTACAAGGATTAGTCAAACTCATATCCTGCTAGGTAAGAATGTAGTTTTTAAATAGGAAGGCAACGTGTTACCTAAAAGTGTGTTTTGTTGGAGAAGTTACTGAATGTTCCATAAAGATATCCATATATGATTCTATGCTGATTTTCATTTTAAAAAATATATTTTCACACACTACCTCATTCAAAAGACAAATCAAGGGCCAGCCTGGTCCCTCTTTGGCGACCCAGGGTTTACCAGTTCCGATCCCGGGTGCGGACATGGCACCACTTGTCAAGCCATGCTGTGGTAGGTGTCCCACATACAAAGCAGAGGAAGATGGGCATGGATGTTAGCTCAGGGCCAGTCTTCCTCAGCAAAAAGAGGAGGACTGGCAGCAGCTGTTAGCTCAGGGCTAATCTTCCTCCAAAAAAAAAAAAAAAACAATCAAGGAAGCAATTATTTTTAAGGAAAAGGAAGTTCAGATATTCACTTGCTGCATGGTCTTTAAACAGCCCACGTAACATTTCCCGGCTTCTAATTTCCCGTTCATTAATACTCATACTTACTAATAACAGTAATAATTGTGCTTTTTTATATTTATGAACCACTTGCTTCTTCAGTAGAGTTTTAAGAACTTCTAAGTGAATTATTCTGATTTAATCGTAACAGACCTGAGACATTGCATTGGCATTAGTGTTATTTCTGTCTCGCTCATTTGGTCTTTTGAGTGAGGCAGTTTGTTTTGATTATAGTGATGCAAACGTTGTTCAGAGCCCAATCAGGTCGTATACTGTGATGATGCTTCCTTTTTATAGGACTTGTACTTCCTTTCTCCCCAAAAGTTAATTGTTTTTTTATAATTTTTCAGGTGTCTGTCGCTAGTTTATCTCCATACTCTCAGTAGAGATATAAATCTCCTCTCAATACTTTCAAACACAACAAGCAACCTCTCATTTTCAACTTCTTTTGGAGACATCCTTCTGGAGTTCTCAGTCACTCTGCTCCAACCTTATCTGCTGTTCTCTAGGCCTATTGCTCACGGGAGAATAGGAGGTTGAGTGGTTCCAGGTTCTAACTGCTTTACGTATAGACGTTCAGCCAATATTCCTGTTTTCAGCCCCACCTTTACTCTCATTATCACAAGTACCTTGTGTTTCCAATTCCCGGGGATTTTTTAGATTTGGAGATTTGCAGATCAGGCTGCTTCTGGGCTTCCCTACTCCCCAGGTTTTGTTGGGGCTTTCTCTTTCTGCTAAATCATTTTCCACTTACCTATCTGCATCTTTAATGCATTGCAAAATTATCAGGTGTAGTATCAAACAGTTGAGTTCCCCTCAGCTCTTATCTTTTAGACCTGAGAGATTCACTGTTTTCCTAGGATCTGGTCTTTCAGCCGAACTACTGACTTTGCGGCCAGTTCCTGCTTAGTTATCCATGTAGCCACATGAAACCCAAACAGACCAAGGTCTTTTTGGTATAAGGAATGAAAACTTATTAAGAGAGAGTTCATCTTAGCTCATTAGAAGAATTGCTTAAAGTACTCATAATCTAACATATATGTTCTAGATTGTAAAGTGGTGTATTATCCAAAAATGAGTTTCATGAGAGGCAGGACGGAAAGTTGCAAGTATATGATCGCCTGTGTTTTGTTACACTTTTCAGTTCGCAAAAGTGCTTTTACATAGGTTGCTTTATTAAATCCTCATTACAAATCTGTTGTGTAGAATTAACGTCATGTACATCAGACATTTATTGCGGGGATTAAAAGAGCTAATCTCTATAAAAGCAGTTAACACATTGACGTTTAAATAAGAATTCATTAAATGTTAATAATATTTATTTTATTATTTTTTAAAGATTTTATTTTTCCCTTTTTTCCCCAAAACCTCCTGGTGCATAGTTGTATATTTTTAGTTGTGAATGCTTCTAGTTATGGCATGTGGGACACTGCCTCAGCATGGCTTGATGAGCAGTGCCATGTCTGCGCCCAGGATCTGAACCGGTGAAACCCTGGGCCACCGAAGTGGAGCACGCAAACATAACCACTCGGCCACGGGGCTATCCCCAATATTT